CGTACCCACTGTATATACTGTATATATATATATATATATAGTCAAATTCATAATAGCTAATTTCCCCTCGCAAAACTCAGAACAGATGAAATAAAATTTATTGTTGTTTTTAGCATAGCTTTGTGCAAGGTGTTATTGTGCAAGCATGTCATCTGTGCATTTCACAGGCTGCATTTAACACTCTGGTCAGTAATGTAACTCTGGTTATATATCTATTTGTTTATTTAGTACATTTATTTATTTATTATTATTATTATTTAGTATTTATTTACTTTATTTAGTATTTATTTATTCAGTACAAAGGTTCTGAGAATACTGTCGGTGGATTGCTACATGAATTGTTGCTGGTTTGTAGTGCTGTCCAGGTTAGTTTTATAAATGGTGGGCCACTGAAATCCGGCATCATGAAACTTGTATTTTTGGTTTTGCTTATTGCTGCTTAGTTGACTGTTAGTAGAGAGGTTAGTAGAGATTCTCTACTCTAAACGAGTAAAAACCACATGATAATCTATAAAGCTGTGGGTCTGTTTCTATCTTCATTTACTGGGCACGTCTGAATCTGATATTTGCACACATTTTCTCCCGTCCTCCATATTGTTTATCAGTCTTTAATGAATAATTGCATAAAGACTCAAGCACATCTAGGCCTATGTATAGCCTAAACGTGTGTATGTCTGTGTGTTTGGGATTTCAGAGATATTTGATCTGTCTAATTGAACAGAACATCAGTATGTGTAAATGAGAAGTGTATTGACCGAATGGGGTGAAGCATGTCCCCAATAAACTACAATAAAGTGATAAGAAATAAATGTAGTGTTAGCCTTAATTCAAAGAACAAAAAACGATTTTTCTCTCTCTCTAGGTCTCTTTGCAGACAGTAATATCCTGCAGCAGGCCCAGCTCCTTGTAGTGGACAATTTTATCTGCACTAGGTGTGATTGTTGGGGCAACCTGGTGTGTGCCAGTGGAGATTGAGTTTGAAGATGGAACGTTCCTCTGCAATGTGGGTTTAATGCACACTTGTTGTTTATAATCTATAGTCTTTGTCATTGTTCCTAACATATGTGTTTATATTTTGATAGTTATGGTAAATTTAGCTACCGTTGCTACCTGCACAATTTAGGGGGCCACCATTGTCGCCCTGTTTTGTGTGACATAGAGGGTCAGAGATTTACATTTATTCATTTGTCAATACGAAGTAAAGCAATTAACCATTATGGAGTAACATAATACAAATATAATTTCAAATGGTTTACAGAAAGACATTCAAACTTTTTCCTTTTGAAAAACATTCAGTGTTGGCCGACTGATTAGTTCTGAATGTTTAATCTTCAATGTACATAAGTGCATTTCAATCAATGGTTAAGTATTAGACATCAACATAAGCCACTTTCATCACACCCCATTCGTATCACCAGTATCTCCTTACAGTACATCCAGCAACAACACCATCTCCACCAGTGCAGACCTTTTTTTGTGTGACCTGAGAGCCCAACCAGTCAGACCTAGAGCAGGTGGCGTAATCCACCACAGGCAGAAGAGCCTGCTGCAGTGTACCAGAAATGGGACCACTGGCTAGTCAATGATATTGGAAAAAGAAAAAATTCTAAGAAGAGTCTAAAAAATAGTTGCCCTCTAAAAAACTTTATTCATAACCATCAGCATTACTTACTGTTCTGACGTCCCCAACCAGTGGCATAGCAGGGAGCATTGTGGGGCAGAACATACCCATCCGGAGGAAGACACGCAGGACTGATAGTGTCACTTAGGGTAACAGGAGTCTGCAGTTTGATCAGGGCAATGTCATTAAAAAATTAGGACATTCACTGCACAAATGTTCAAGACATGGGTCTTCATCCCATAAGACTATTCATCCCATGCACTTTTCATAATTCAAATATATATTTACGTTGTGTATTTAATTGGACTACTGTGTATGTGTAAGTTCAGATGTTCAATAAAGTGGTCAAAGATTGGGAGATTGAAGATGTACACAAAATTGTTGTACACATAGAAGATGTACACACAACTGTTTCCAGCAATAAAAAACATGAACGTGGACTGTCATTGTCATGTTGTGCCTTCTCCATTACACATACACATTAATTTGCGGCATGGCACGGCAACCTCAGCATGATTTCAAGAAAAAAAAAAAAAAGAAGAAATACAAAGAGTACATTTCTAAGAACTTGACACATTCTACACTCGATTTAGTTACATTTAAAATCTCCTTTGAAGAGATTTTTCCTTTTCTTAAACACTTATACTGACCTATATGCAGTTATGTGACTCTCCTTGTGGTTACCTTTAATAAAAAATATTAATCAGATTATATTGTCAGTCTTGAAGACTTCTTACCTCCAACAACCAGAACAGCCAAGAGCACAGACTTCATGTTTATATGTACAAGCCAATTCACTCTCAATTTGTCTTTTGGAACGAATGATTGCTTTAGAGAAAAACTAGTCAGAAAAATTAGCTCTTTGGTGCACCTTGACCTTTATATTTCACAGGGTAGAATCTAATCAAAATATTGTTGCTGTTGATTAACAGGTTGAAGGTTTGTTCTTACATTTAGTTTGACTGTTGAATCATCTTTTTATATAGTTTTTCCCCTTTAATTTTCATGTATACTTGTGGTAAATAAGACATGACACTTTACATTTTTAGTTTTTGTCACAAATTCATATTAATACTTAAATCCTCACAACACCAAAAAAAAAAAAAAAAAAAACCCCCCATAAA